GTCCCGGACCCTGACCTGTTGAATGAAATACTTGCATAATCAGAATGTAGAGGCAGTAAAACAATATGGCTGTATTCTGTCTAGTGGTCCGGCTTGTTTTAGATGATAGGAATCTGTTAGGTGCGATAATTCCAGTGAGGGGTGTACTATTGCATAGTTCCAATTAACTCCAGTAAATTACTTTTCTTTTCCTCAGTGTAGGAGCACTGAATCAGCATATGGTATGAAAGACAACATGTCATCTGGGAAGAGTTTTATGGACTGGTCTTTTTTGCAACATGCAAAAAGTGATTTACACATGTTATATGTCATATCACAAAAAACCAGATCTGTTGTGAATTTGCAACTGAAAATGTGTTAATGATACAATGATGACTGCTGGATTGCACCTGGCTGTCTGTAGAGGTCAAAATACTTTATATGAGCTTTATCACTTCTAAAGCAGTAGTTTCAGTCTGAGCTTGTCTCCAGTGGAGGGACATTAACTTCCACAATATCTCCAGTGATTACATCATGATGAGTGCATTACCTGAAATGTGGCTGTTAAATGCCGCCAGGCCTGAACAGGGAAATCAATGAAGCAGCGGACAGAACAGACTTGTTCACTGTTCCTCCATACATCCCCCTGAGAGTCAGCCTCCACACTCATTAATGAAGACAGACATAACTGATACACAGTATATCCATGAACACAGGAAGATTTTACCTTGTGATTGTCCAAAGGTTACTGAATCATTATGGGTTATGTCTATATTTAAATGCTTAATTCTCTAAGGTGAGGTGAATTTACTTTCCAACCCTGAGTACAGGTGCATATTATGGACAACTTTTACTGGTTTAAGCTTCATTTAGCTTGAAAATGATTGTGACCGTCTAGTGAAAACCATGCATCTCCAAACTGAAACTGAAGGGGCCAGATGACACGAAGAAAATGCTCCTACATCTTATGCATTAAAGAAGAACTTCACCACTGCTGTTTTAAAGCAGAAAATCATACAACAATCAGAATACATTGCAAGCGGTGCCTGCCAGGCCACTCCACTGGTGGTGGTATGAAAAACAAACAGACAGGTAGGTTGTTTAAGGCTAGCAGCCATTTTAACAAACAAGTTGGCATTAATCTGCATGATACAGTCACATGAAAAAATAATGGCACCGTTTGCAATTTCTTGGTTTTCGGCATATATTGGTCATGAAATATGATCTGATCTTCACCAAAGTCATAAATATCAACAAACACAATATTTCTAAGCTGATAAAACACAGACATGATCTTTCATGTCTTTACTGAACACACTGATTAAAAGTATTGGTGAAAAAAGTCATGGCAACACTAGGCTTCTGATGTCACTAGGAGGGTGACAAGATCATGCAATATTAAAACTTGATGATATTCATCGTCAAGGTGAAAAGCTGCCTCACGATATCAGTACACAACAGAACCAGAGCAGCATCCAGCATGAAAGACTGTGAGGATGAAATTAGCAGAGAAAACGTTATCTCACAATTATATCTGTTTACCAATGTGGTGCCCATTTCTGCTTTGTTTTGGAGACAATGGTGGACAAGGGGGTGTAGAAATTAAAACCTTCTATCCAGATGTACAGTGAAGAACAACGTACACATGTACACGGTGCCTCACCAAAACTACTCGGCTATCAGGATGCCCGAAACGGAGCCTTCTTTTGCAGAGCCTAAGCTGTGTATAAGGTGAGACAGTCACTGTTGTACCACTTCTTGTGCACACGCTCTATTATTATTATTATATTTAAATTACTATAATAAGACCTAGACAAATAGATTATTTGTTTAGATAACCAAGTATTTTCAAGCCTGTAGTTCAATAACACCAGCCCAAATCAGTAGACCAGCGAACTTGGTTCATTTTCCCTTTTGTTTGGTTTCTTTTCACACAGAAAAATCCAAGAAAATCAAAATTCATCACTATAAATCCAGTTCCCTCCACCCATTGGTTAAATGAGTCTGTGGTGGGAACGAGTACGTAAACACAGAAGAAGAGGATCCATGTTCTTTACTGGTAAGTTCCTATGAAACAAATTTACTCTGCACAATGAAGAAACAGCAAAACTGGCATTTGCTCATAACTGTGGTAATTATCTGGGCAATATATGAAACAAAACTATACCAACAGAACGCCAAATGGAGTTCAAGAAAACATCTTGATAATACAGTACTGCTTCATACTTCACAAAGAACACATACTTGTGTATACTACTGTAGACTGAGCAGGAAAAAGGAGATGCTTATGCTACTGTAGGCTCCACACATGGCCTTCCACTACCCTGCTTTTGACATCTTCACAGGGGAACAGCGAAGGAAGAACAGAACCCTGTTCACCTAGCTCCCAGAAGTAAAACAACAATGCAGAGAGGTATGTGAGACCATTGTGAATATGATAAACAGCCAAAGCAAATGTTACCGGATGGTTTATTCATCATCTTTTGTGATACATTACTCAAAGCACATCAATTTTAATCATTTTCAACTACCCTGTTCACTATTTCTATGGTCTATTTTCAAGATAACTTGCACATTTGGGTTCCAGAGGGACAGACTACAACATGGTATAATTGAGTAATACTGTAAGGGAAAAGAGAACGCTGGCACAGCAATGAATATCACTTCTAAAGCTACTGTTCGGTATCTGAGGAAAAGAAAAATTCAAAGTTATGTCCTTGCTGAACAAACAAATGTAGATATGCAATTAGGTGCTGTCTGAAAAGAGTTAACACCAACACATGAAGAGTAAACAACAATGTATTTAAGTGCAAGACTGTAAGAGACAGACAGGCATTAGGAAATGTAAATAATTAGTAATTGTTGCTTTTCAGTATCTTCTTCCTCTTAGGTTCTCATTCATAAGCTTTATGTTACTGTGAAAGCTGCATTACCAATCTCTACAAAGCACTGTATTTCACATAAGACTATACATTTTAGTCTGAAGTATTTATGAGGTATGTTATTGCACTTACAGCATGTTCATGTGTCAATTTAGTCCTACTAGATTTTCATTTTGTTTTAGAGAGCCAGAAGTAAGTTTTAGCTGTCCACATGTGGCCCAACTCACAATGCTGTGTTCTTTTATCCTCTGAGGAATGATCACCTTCATCCCAAAAACAAATAAACAAAAACAAACCGAGCACTTTTATTTATTAGAGCAGTATTAGGACAAGGTCAGGGTTCAGGTTAGGGGAAGACATCTCGATGGGGAAACAGACTGACACAACAACGGCTCTGCTTCCACATGCCGTGTTTGATTCCACAGCTCAGTATTTCAGCCTTCCCACAGCTTTTCCTCAGACACTTTGGTACATTTTTCACATCATCCTTGATATATGCAAAACAGTAAGAGCGCATTTCTCAGAACATTTCATACAAACAGCAGCATGCAAAAACATATCACTTGCTCAGAATCCTTAGTTTATCTCTCAAAGGTAAATACCTATGTCAGTGAACATGTCAGTGTCATCAGAAAGACAAGTGACAATAGATGACTGCACTTGTTCTGTTTGGCCTGTATCAGTTTCAACAGCACAAGGTTTCACATCGCTGTATGTGGGAAACTGAATGCAAAGGTTGTGCATGATTCACATTAGTACTGTTTTTACAGTAATGTCATTGTGATAGAAAAATGTGTTTTACAACACTGCATACAGCACAAAGGAAAAAAACAAAAACAACAAAAAAAAAAAAACCCAAATGTAAACACAGGAAACACTTCCTAGACAGAACAACTGTTCTCCCAGTGTCCAGCTGCCTTCAGCCAGCCTTGGACATTGTGAGGCCATGATTTGCAGCATGGTCCACAAGTGTGGCCCTTGATTCATTGGGAACGTGCTGATGTCCTTGGTCTCTTCTCCTGCTTCCTCTGTTTTTTCCTCCCTACCCTTCCACCACACAGGCCTAACTCCTCTTCTTCTACTTGACACATGATGCTGTTCACTTCCTTGTCTTGTCTTCCATTGTCAGGAATTCTAACACTGGGTTGTGCTCCGTCTATATATACTTGCCAATTGAAGGTTCACGAGAGGCACTTCTGAGCTATTTTACAGTTGAGAAATGGTTGATCATACACTTCACATATTCCCCGTCATAGTCAAAGTCAAGACTGCGAGCAATTCAACAATTCAGACTAAGTTTAAAAAAAAAAGTCTAATACAGCTGTACAGAAAAATGCTTGACAAATACTAAAGACTACACTCACCAGACACCATATTAAGTAAACCTATACAACTGTGTACAATTCAATACAACACTTCCACCTTAAGATCTGTTTATGAAGCTCAAAATGTTTCGGTTTTTGGTTTCCATAAATTGGCAAATTCAATTATATGTTTATTACTGCAGTCACAATTAAAGGTGGTGTTGTACATGACAGCCAGATGTGTGTGTAACACTCTGACCCTCTCATGTATATAGCTGGGGAGGACAAAAATATAGAGGCACCTCTGAAAATCATGTAGTCCACTACAACACCACCTTTAACTTTAACCTCAGTCATAAACATATAACTGAATTTATACATTTATGACAATTTCACCAAATGCTGAAACATTCTGAGCTTCATAAACACAGATGTTAAAGCAGATGTGTTGCACTGAAGTGCATACAACGGAACAGGCGTACCTAATAAAGTGACTGGGCAATGTACATACCAGAAGAGCTCAATTCAATTCATATTTATTTGTATAGTGCCAAATCACAACAAAAGTAATCTCAGGACACTTCACAAAGTAAGGTCTAGACCCTACTATCATCACTATTATTATTGGAGCTCAGTTAAGAGTTAAGATCCTGGTTAAGAATCTTTGTGTATCATCTTTACATGCACACCGTTTAACGTTCCCCACCAGTCTCAACAATAGATCCAATATGCTTCTTTGTACATTCACAGGAAAATAAACTGACTCCCATTAATATGTGTATGACTTAAAACATGGCAAAACAGACAAAAGGACACAAGAAATATGACACACGACACTGAAAATCACCATAGCTTGTATGTGTTCACCATGTGTGAGCACTGTCCACAAAGACATGCACACAGTTGCACTGTAAGGCTCCCATTGTGTGCAGAGTAAGGCACAGAAAAACTAAGCTGTGTGGAGGAGGACAACAAGATGAGCTAGATTAAAGGAAGCAGCGCACCATGGAAACAAGTATCAGCTGAAGACACAGCTGTCTCCTCCGGAGGAGGAAAACCAAAACAATAACAACAGCCAGAGCCAGCTTCTTACTTTATTTCATTTAAGAAACATCACAACGCTGTAAATTAATTTGATAAAAAAATAAAGCCGCTGTAAGCGCTGGCCAATTACTTATACAGTGTTAGTTTGCTTCAAATTTTTGTTTTGAAGTGAGATTATTTGTTGTAAACCCTTTGGGATTTTAGAATCTCACATGCACAAAGGAGACGTGCACTTCCTCTTTCATTCCTTTTACCACCCAATTACATCCTTGTTTGTTAAGTAGTTTGATTCTATATGAATGAAAACCATTGCTTCTATGTAGTACGTCCTAAACATAAGCCACAATCAAATACTAAAAAAGATATGGCAGAAGTAATAGGTGAGTTGATATTAAATGAGCTAATACCTTAAAACATTATGGCCCTGCTGTAGTAATAGCCAGGAGAAGGAATAATGAGACAAATGTTCATGAAGTGTCTCAAAAAAGCATGTGGGGACATTCACATTACAAGTAAACATGCTGTACCTGTAGTATATAACACCTTCTAGGTTTATCAGTGAACTTTGCTGAATAAATTTACTGGTTTGACGACAAAAGTTTGTCTTTGAGACCTTATTGTTTAATTTCTTGTTAAACATTGTGTCTTTTAACATCTTGAGATACTGAAAAAAGTAACACATTTGCCAAGTTATCCCTTTCATTCTGTGCTTTTCAGATACATCGATACAGGCCCATCTCTAACAATTACTGTAACTTCATTATCAGTTAACCTGCTGATTATTTTCTTGAATAATCACTTATTCAGGTGCAGCTGTGCAAATAATGCAATTCGCCACAGGATTCAGCAGGCCCGCTTTATTCACTTTACTGAAAAGTCACTGTCACAACGTTCCAATGTGACATTATTAAACATCTTGTTTTTCCTTAACCAGCAGTCCAAAACCCAAAGATATTAATTCCACAACTAAAACAACAAATCTTCACAAGCAGTTAGGCTGCTGCATTTATTAATAAATCAACTAATCATTGCAGCACAGACCTCATTATGTGGGTGCATTCAGCAGAGGTCTTTGTTCACATGCTTTGCTTGACTAAGGCTGCTAAACAGCCCTTAAACTCTATTTTCAAAAACATCTCATTTAATTGAAATAGGCTCCGCACTGAGGCATTTTCATTTTACTGAAGCGCTCCTTCACAACCTCACGACCCAAACATGTGAGGATGGACCAGATGAGACACGAAGGAAAGCAGATGGAAAGACAGAGTGAGGGTGAAAGTGAGAAGGAGAGAATAAAGGTGGGGGAGTGGAGAGAGGGGGGAAATCCCACTCGGAGGAGAAGCGTGACAGAAAGAACACACTGGCACATAGAGAGAGAGAGAGAGAGAGAGAGAGAGTCACAGATCAGAACCTAATCTAAATGAAAGGCCGGGTCATTAAACATACATCTGCAGACTGGATAGGGGCTTCCGTTTTAAAGGTACAGTAGATGGACTTGAGAGGCTTGAAATAGAAACCAAAGGCAAGAAGACTACGAGGGGACAGTGTTACAACAGCCCAATTAGAGTGTTTGAACTCCAGGCTTGAGACCTGAGCCCAGCCTCCCGGTGACACTTTCTGAACAGTATGACCTCATTTTAGTTTTTCTCCTTCCTCATCTACTCCCTTCAAATAGTCTCAAGTGCCAAGTGATTGAGTGTTTGTGTGAGAAAATAAAACAAGTTGACATAATGGGGAGAAAAGGGAGAACAGAATAAGTGAGTGTGAGAAACAGATGAAAGAAGAAAGGATGCTAGAGAGACAAAGTCAGACCTTGCTGAAGCGAGGAGAGCAGGAGGAAAACTGTCTGATCTCCACCGGCTCATCGTCATTGGTGTCATCCTCGTCGTATGTATTGATGTGGTGATAACGATCTGAACGGGCTGGCAGAAGAGGGAGGGAGGGGGGAGAGAGAGGAGGTAAGATATATGAGCTGTTGGTTCAAAAGAAAAAGTGCAGTTCTGCCATTTCTGGCATGGCGGCAGAAAAGTTATTGTACAATTCATACACCTAATATTGATGGAACAGATGTGTGTTACACATAATTCCAGACACACATACTATCAAAGTAGCTGGTGTCCTCCTCTGACTCCAGGTGTGGGATGAATTCCGCCTTCTGTCTCAGTATACTGTTCCAGTCCAGCTCAGTGAAGAACGAGTGCTGCTTCACCTCAAATGCTCCACCTGGTGGCAGGGGCACAAACACAACCACCTGTCAGGTTCATGCAACAGTATGGGCTAAATCTCAGTTCCCTTAATTGCATCCATGTTTCCCTCATTTGCATCTTTTCCTTGTGTTTTAGTCCCGTCCCCGTAACATGCAAGGAAAAGATGCAAGGCTAAAATAGCGAGGAGAGAGGAATCAAGAAAACATGTTTTAAGAGACATGAGACGTCTTTTCCTTTCATACTTCATCTGACGTGTCCAATCACAAACTGACATCCAATAAATGGTCGTGTCAGTCTACAAAAGACTTCCAGGAAAGATGCTCTCATGTATTCTTACACATGGCTCTCCCAGACAGCCTGGGCAGGCTTTTGGGTTGAGTGAGGATCGAGGAGCAAGGAACAATCAAACAAGGGACCTGGGATTTACCCATGGAGTGAAAGCTAATGATATATTTGTAGAATGCAGAGTTAATTTCAGGGTGTGACATAATTGCCAAGTTTTCTACATAGTGTTAGGAAAAGTTCTCATTAGAGGAACAGTTTGCCATACTGGAAAATACTAGTAATGTGGGATACCACTCATTTCTGGTCTCAACAACAGAGAATGATGGAGAAGAGAAGTAATAAGGCATATTTATAATGGATGTCTGCTTTTATTAACAACATATGGTGCCACCCTGGTCACTTTACTGTGAAGGGACATTTTTCTAGTCAGGACATTGAACTGTAGCCTTGGGACAACGTCCATACTGCATACCCAGGAAGCTTTCACATGCTATCATACATGACATCCACTCTGTTGCCATCAGACTCCAGACTGCACCTCAGTGCTTTCATGTTTTTCTTGCAATGTATTGCATTCCTTGTATTCTTGTTTAATTATAGGTCATAACTTCCACAATCTTGTGCAACCACTGCGTAGCAATGTCCCTGTGAAGATTAATAAATATTTTCTTATTCTTTAGTGGCTCATGCATTTTCAGAGCCATAGTTCGCATGTGACTATGACAGGCAGAAGGAGAAGTAGTTCCTATCAGCTGGGTAGACTGTCCTGGTGATAACTTTATACTGTGTCCCCTTCTGATGATAAAAGGCTGCCCCAAATTACTGAGTTGATATATCAATCTTTTACTAGAAGAATCGATACTGGAACAGGAAATGCTGGGATCGAAGTATTGATATTCCAGGATTGGTCTGGACATCACTAGAAAATTAAGTGAAAGTTATCACTTTCATGTTATATGAAGATCAACGCTGCTCTAATGATTGTTCCTTAAAAATGAAGCTACAGACTGCTAGCCTAGCAAATAACTGGAAACGGGGAAACAGCTTACTTGGCTTGTCAAAAGTAAAAAGGTAGTCTCACACATAACCACACTTAAAACTACAACTTCTTGCTTTTACACTTTTATATGGATTAAAGAAATGTGCTGGTACAGTGTGGAGATTTTCTTGTTTTCACACACAGCCAGGCTAAGCTAAACCAACCAGCTGCTGCTGTAGCCTCATATCCAGCAGACAGACCTTAGAATGGTAGAGATGTTCTCAGCTACCTTTCATCAGAAAGACAAATAAGCCTTTTACCCTATAATATCAAATTGTTTTTATCCTACTTTGTATCCTCAGTCTTGTTGCCAAATGGATATAGATAGTATGTCTAAAGTCAAGTAAATACAAATGCAGGTACCTGTACCCAACCTCACAAGAGGGTTGGTCTGCAGCAGAGCAGAGATGAGGGCCTGGGCATCCGCAGGCAAGGCGTCATCACCATCTGGCCAAACTATATCATCTAACAGAGACAGAGCAAAGGGTCATAGTAACGTGGCAGAAAGAAACAGCTCCATTTTGAAGTAGTTTCCAAGATGGCAAATCACAGCCTATGGCAAACTGCTGTAAAACTGCCATTAATACTTGCATCAGGGGGAAAAAAACATTTTAGTTGGAGCAGTATTTAAAATCTTATGGCCTAAATATCTCTGCTCAGGCTACATCATATGCATGCATGGCACCAGACAGTTTAGAAGGAAGAGTAATGTTTTATTAATCTTTAAAGCATATACACTGTGGTTTCTAAACTCTGTGGTAGTCTGAAAGTCTTACTAACGTAGAATGAGCAACTACTATAAAAGAAGAGTCTAGTGGTTTGATTTTGATTGCTAAAATGTGCAGTTTGAGAGTCTTCAAAAAAGGGTAGAATATTATGAACGTTTACTTCTACTTCCTCACCTGTAATGACCTGTCCGAACAGCTCCTCAGGAGTGTCTCCAAAGAAAGGCACACAGCCCACCAGGAACTCATACAGAATGATACCCATAGCCCACCAATCCACCGGCTTCCCGTAGCCTTGACGGAGAATCACTTCTGGAGCGATGTACTCTGGAGTACCACATACCTTAGTGATGCAGTGAAAGAGGAAGCAAGGCAGGCAGAGTAAGACAGGAAAGTAAGGGAGTTACATAATCCAAATTCTCCACATTAAAGAACATTGATTGTAAACAGTTTTCCACACACACTCTTTTACTGTAAGTACCACTTTATCAAAACACAAAAATCACTTTTGTCCCACTTACCTCTAGTTGTATGCGGGTGTTCAGATCTGAGCTCCACCACTCCAGTACAATAAAGATAACCTTAACATTGTCAGTGGTGCTCAAAGAAAATATCAAAAATAGGGGCATGTGGCTGAGGTGCATACCAAAACATTCAGGGTTCGATTCCCAGCCGGGGAGCCTCTGTCATAACAGCCCTCTCCCTCTGACTTTGTTTCTTGTCGCTCTCTACGCTTTTAACTTTTGCAAAATACCCCCAAAAAGCAAATCATCTCTGCATATGCAGTACCATGTCAGCACAAGGCAATCACTTTACGGTGAGTGACTGAAAACCGATAACGAGGTTTGCGGACACTGTTTTTGAACAGAGACACAACCTTTAAGTAATTTTTGTTTTAAATGCTATAAACTCCAGAAGTAATTGTCCTGGGTGGGGGGAGAAGTTTTAGTACCAAAGATTTAAAACCCAGATAAAACTTTAGTTATTTACACATCAAGATGTGTTTTGTGAACTGGTCCTTTAAAACTAGACGCTGTAATGTGGAAACTGTGCCGTCAGTTTATCCCCTCTGCTCTGTTCTCTCAGGAGAGTGAATGTAAAATGAAAGCACTTGTGAGTCTCCCTCTGTGTGAATGGTTACACATGTTTTTGTCGTCTTGCACAACAGAGACATCGTTATTGACTGAATGAGAAATTCTTCACTAATCAGCATCTCCACCAGAAACCTGAAAAGACAAGCCCCGGTCTCCCTCATCTGCAGATGTGAGGTGATTACTGGCTGACAAACAGATGCCCGCTCCCACCCAGAAGAGCTGGAGGAGACACAGGCCAATCTGACTGATTACAACTAGTTTAATTCAGATCATAAACAATAATTGCAAAATGGTATTGTGATGGAGATGAAGAGCATTAACGAGTCACTAATTCAAAGTACACAGGAAGCTTTGTAATGCAGTGTGTTCATCTGGAGATTAATGATTTCACCGATGACTTGGCAGGTTGGCACGCATGGCTGGAAAAGGCTGTTGTGAGTGACAGTCATCTGTGCAGCCACCATATATCAGATCTTAGAATTTCACTAATTCTGCACTGCATACAACCTCATTCATACAGTTGTTAATTAAAATCGATCTGTCACCAGCCTTTCTTCCTTTATATATGGGTGGATAATGCACTGCACTTAATGTCCAAGCTGGTATATATCCAGGGTACTAGGTAATAAGTACAATACCTGCTTGTCCAGGAATTCTCTGGCATCTTTCTCAATGTGTCCCTCATACAGGTTGGTGGTGAGGCTCATTAGACCCATCTTTGACAAGCCAAAATCTGTGAGCTTGATGTGGCCCATGGAGGTGATCAGGAGACTATATGAAGTGAGGAAACAGGGGTTTAACTTTTAACAGCTATTAAGTTCAAGAATACACCTTTTACAGATTGTATTAAAACAGGGTTTTCAACTAGCTGTGACCCAGGGACCACCATTCTGACTAGGAAGTAACTCAAGGACCGCTGTTGTGGGGTGGCTACATCAGAGGGGCACAAATATAATCCTGAGAGTCACCTTGGCTTTTCTTAATTGTATATATTTGCAGGAAATTGATTATTCGCAAACAGTTGGAAATACATAGAAATGTGTTTTTAAACTACATTACTGAATGCATGATCAGGGACCACCTGCAATGCTTACATAGACCAGCAGTGGGCCACGGACCACTGGTTGAAAACCCCTGCATTAAAAGATAATTCAAATTCCTTTTTTTGTGATTGGCCACTGTGATGACTTCCATGACAGCAGATGAAAATTTTAAAACAGCATCTAATTATTTCTTTGGCAACCTGAGGGCAGCAGAACAAGCTGTTAACACGACACTGACATAGCATTATCACCTTATGGTTGTTTGCCTGTGAAGTACGTGAACGTGTTGGCAAACACTTAACTAAACATTTGTTAGACATGTTGCAACATTAGCATTCATTTGCATCCAAGTCCATCTTTTACTCTCTTCTAGCTCAGTGTTGGTCTCCACCAGCTTCTGGGGGGAATATCTGTCTCTTTAGCTGCTGGCACTTAGTTGCTAACTCTGCCTGTCTGCTAGCCAGGTAGTGCACATTCAGTTTAGCACAGTGGTTTTTGTTTTTTGTTTTTGTTTTTTTGCTGGGTAAAGCTGCATCTGTAAAAAAGGGTGAATGGAGTGAACCAAAGGAAAAAACCATTGAACCAAAACAATAAGCTGAAAAATGCTAAAGCGCTTTCCAGAGATGAGGGAAAATGTTGGGGGGTAATTCTCTCTTGTTAAAATAAAAACACTTTGAGTGCAGCTTCAGACAAAAGAGTGTGAGGATGAAATTAGCAGAGAAAACGTTATCTCACAATTATATCTGTTTACCAATGTGGTGCCCATTTCTGCTTTGTTTTGGAGACAATGGTGGACAAGGGGGTGTAGAAATTAAAACCCTTCTATCCAGATGTACAGTGAAGAACAACGTACACATGTACACGGTGCCTCACCAAAACTACTCGGCTATCAGGATGCCCGAAACGGAGCCTTCTTTTGCAGAGCCTAAGCTGTGTATAAGGTGAGACAGTCACTGTTGTACCACTTCTTGTGCACACGCTCTATTATTATTATTATATTTAAATTACTATAATAAGACCTAGACAAATAGATTATTTGTTTAGATAACCAAGTATTTTCAAGCCTGTAGTTCAATAACACCAGCCCAAATCAGTAGACCAGCGAACTTGGTTCATTTTCCCTTTTGTTTGGTTTCTTTTCACACAGAAAAATCCAAGAAAATCAAAATTCATCACTATAAATCCAGTTCCCTCCACCCATTGGTTAAATGAGTCTGTGGTGGGAACGAGTACGTAAACACAGAAGAAGAGGATCCATGTTCTTTACTGGTAAGTTCCTATGAAACAAATTTACTCTGCACAATGAAGAAACAGCAAAACTGGCATTTGCTCATAACAGTGGTAATTATCTGGGCAATATATGAAACAAAACTATACCAACAGAACGCCAAATGGAGTTCAAGAAAACATCTTGATAATACAGTACTGCTTCATACTTCACAAAGAACACATACTTGTGTATACTACTGTAGACTGAGCAGGAAAAAGGAGATGCTTATGCTACTGTAGGCTCCACACATGGCCTTCCACTACCCTGCTTTTGACATCTTCACAGGGGAACAGCGAAGGAAGAACAGAACCCTGTTCACCTAGCTCCCAGAAGTAAAACAACAATGCAGAGAGGTATGTGAGACCATTGTGAATATGATAAACAGCCAAAGCAAATGTTACCGGATGGTTTATTCATCATCTTTTGTGATACATTACTCAAAGCACATCAATTTTAATCATTTTCAACTACCCTGTTCACTATTTCTATGGTCTATTTTCAAGATAACTTGCACATTTGGGTTCCAGAGGGACAGACTACAACATGGTATAATTGAGTAATACTGTAAGGGAAAAGAGAACGCTGGCACAGCAATGAATATCACTTCTAAAGCTACTGTTCGGTATCTGAGGAAAAGAAAAATTCAAAGTTATGTCCTTGCTGAACAAACAAATGTAGATATGCAATTAGGTGCTGTCTGAAAAGAGTTAACACCAACACATGAAGAGTAAACAACAATGTATTTAAGTGCAAGACTGTAAGAGACAGACAGGCATTAGGAAATGTAAATAATTAGTAATTGTTGCTTTTCAGTATCTTCTTCCTCTTAGGTTCTCATTCATAAGCTTTATGTTACTGTGAAAGCTGCATTACCAATCTCTACAAAGCACTGTATTTCACATAAGACTATACATTTTAGTCTGAAGTATTTATGAGGTATGTTATTGCACTTACAGCATGTTCATGTGTCAATTTAGTCCTACTAGATTTTCATTTTGTTTTAGAGAGCCAGAAGTAAGTTTTAGCTGTCCACATGTGGCCCAACTCACAATGCTGTGTTCTTTTATCCTCTGAGGAATGATCACCTTCATCCCAAAAACAAATAAACAAAAACAAACCGAGCACTTTTATTTATTAGAGCAGTATTAGGACAAGGTCAGGGTTCAGGTTAGGGGAAGACATCTCGATGGGGAAACAGACTGACACAACAACGGCTCTGCTTCCACATGCCGTGTTTGATTCCACAGCTCAGTATTTCAGCCTTCCCACAGCTTTTCCTCAGACACTTTGGTACATTTTTCACATCATCCTTGATATATGCAAAACAGTAAGAGCGCATTTCTCAGAACATTTCATACAAACAGCAGCATGCAAAAACATATCACTTGCTCAGAATCCTTAGTTTATCTCTCAAAGGTAAATACCTATGTCAGTGAACATGTCAGTGTCATCAGAAAGACAAGTGACAATAGATGACTGCACTTGTTCTGTTTGGCCTGTATCAGTTTCAACAGCACAAGGTTTCACATCGCTGTATGTGGGAAACTGAATGCAAAGGTTGTGCATGATTCACATTAGTACTGTTTTTACAGTAATGTCATTGTGATAGAAAAATGTGTTTTACAACACTGCATACAGCACAAAGGAAAAAAACAAAAACAACAAAAAAAAAAAAACCCAAATGTAAGTCCAGGAAACACTTCCTAGACAGAACAACTGTTCTCCCAGTGTCCAGCTGCCTTCAGCCAGCCTTGGACATTGTGAGGCCATGATTTGCAGCATGGTCCACAAGTGTGGCCCTTGATTCATTGGGAACGTGCTGATGTCCTTGGTCTCTTCTCCTGCTTCCTCTGTTTTTTCCTCCCTACCCTTCCACCACACAGGCCTAACTCCTCTTCTTCTACTTGACACATGATGCTGTTCACTTCCTTGTCTTGTCTTCCATTGTCAGGAATTCTAACACTGGGTTGTGCTCCGTCTATATATACTTGCCAATTGAAGGTTCACGAGAGGCACTTCTGAGCTATTTTACAGTTGAGAAATGGTTGATCATACACTTCACATATTCCCCGTCATAGTCAAAGTCAAGACTGCGAGCAATTCAACAATTCAGACTAAGTTTAAAAAAAAAAGTCTAATACAGCTGTACAGAAAAATGCTTGACAAATACTAAAGACTACACTCACCAGACACCATATTAAGTAAACCTATACAACTGTGTACAATTCAATACAACACTTCCACCTTAAGATCTGTTTATGAAGCTCAAAATGTTTCGGTTTTTGGTTTCCATAAATTGGCAAATTCAATTATATGTTTATTACTGCAGTCACAATTAAAGGTGGTGTTGTACATGACAGCCAGATGTGTGTGTAACACTCTGACCCTCTCATGTATATAGCTGGGGAGGACAAAAATATAAAGGCACCTCTGAAAATCATGTAGTCCACTACAACACCACCTTTAACTTTAACCTCAGTCATAAACATATAACTGAATTTATACATTTATGACAATTTCACCAAATGCTGAAACATTTTTGAGCTTCATAAACACAGATGTTAAGACAGAAGCGTTACATTGAAAAGCATACAATTGCACAGGTGTACCTAATGAAGTGGCCGGTGAGTGTAGTTCACCCATTTTGCATGTAATAACATCTTAAATGGACTAATTCCTAAATGTTTTGGGAGGTCAGCCTATTCAACAGAGAACCAAAGATATCTTATTGTAGGGAAGGAAACAGCAGGATATGTACTGTCCTTCATATGTACTTCTGAAACTAGAACAATAAGAATTCATTTGAAAATGTGTGTAATTGTTCTTAAATACCATTCAGAATCATAGAAATATCTCAAAAATGCAAGTACCAAGGGGCTGGGTAAACTAATGTTACCACAACCGGCATATTTATGAAAATGTGTGCTAGCCATATCACTCTCTTTGGGGTTTCCTATTAGTTTTGTCAGCTAAATAGATAAATAGGTGGATGGAGTTTTGTAGTTTAAATACAGATAGTTTAAGGTCACTAATGGTGCTGAAATGAAACTTAATTCTGAACAACTAAACAAGGGATCATCAAGTCACCGATCAATCAAACACTGAATATTACTTATTACATGACAATTTGCTGCTTTTCTCTATTTTATATAAACTGGGTTTATATGTGCCATCCTTTCTCACATTTTAATAGGATACTAAAGGGTTAACTGAGTAAAATCACCATTAGTTGCTGCCCTATTATGTATTTTGTACTGTTGGTGAGTGTTTTTCTGCCTCAGCTCTGTGTCCAATTGCTGCCCAGGAGCATCATGTGAAAGCAGCAAACCCAGTGAGGACAAATTCTGTTGGTTTAAATTTTTCTGAGAAATGCCTCCTCCTCCTTGTTACATTAACTGTCTTTGGTCTATATCATAAATATAATGGCACAAAGCTGAAATCAGGTTCGTCTCTCTTTGCTCATCTCTTTGTAGACAGAGGTTTTTCACAAGACAGCACCGAAGCGCGGGTTGAATCAGAAGAAAACCAATGGGCAATACTGAACTTATGGGTGAAAATAGTATACAGGCAACTGAGGCTCGGCTGGTCTCAGCAAAACATAATTATTTATGGTTTAAAAACAAACTGGAAACACTAAAGTAACAAAAAGAGTAAATGTAAAATGTGTTGTCTCACATGACACCCTTACTTAATGTGGTTACTTCTGCTCTGACACTGTAGCAGCATTTCTGTACACAGCTGATCAACTGTTGCCATCCAGCTTCCCCAGTCCCGTGTATCGCTTCTGGACTGGATAGAGACCAGACCTACCACACACACACACACACACACACACACACACACACACTACTAAAGGACCATATAACCCGCGACGTCTAATTCTCTAATTCTTAAACATTAAGAGCTACTATATACAAGCCAAGTAATTCGGTGGCAGGTTGACCAAACCGGTATGCAGGTAATCCTTTACTCCCCTCCGACATTTAGTGTTCGGGGGGTGGGGGTTAAAGCCTAAATCTGCTGCGTTGCTGCCGCTCTCTGGATTAACACGCACATATACAAGCCACTGAAATATGAGGCCAGTGACTTTTTGGGGTTGTTGTAACAAGTGAAACCCATACAAGTTGCGCCAAGAATACACCAGCGGGTCTAAAGCAGCCAGAACGGGTCTGGTGAGCTAAGGTCGCCGTGCTAGACAGACAAATGGGAATAACTGCGGATTCCACTCACCTGATGCAAAGAGGCTTCGAGCTGCTCCTTTTAAGATGTCTTAGATAAATCCACAGAAATATAAGACACTGTATTGTTTCAAACGCAAAACTGCGTCTTTCGGTCAGTCATAACAATTCTTGATATGGAGGTCCGCCGCTGACTTGTTTCATGTAGTTGGAGCTGTTTCGGGATATATTTATCCGGGCAGGCGTCTCGGCGGGCAGCCCCGGGCGCCCGGAAAAACAGGGAAGCCGCCA